CCTTGCTTGATTTCATGAGCTGATTTAGGACATTATCATAAAATATAAATTTATTTTTTTAAAACATATATTTGGAAAAATCAGGGATGTAATTTTCAACAGCATTTTTTTCCAGTGTGTGGCACAGAATGCATATGGATTAGCTATATATATTGCTGTTAAACGTAATGAGTTTCTGTCCTTTTTTCCGTTTTCCTACATCTTCCTATATCTGCAAAACTCCCTAGCCTTGGAGATACATAAAAATGAGACATTAGCTGAAGCTTTCTCTCTTAAAACTACGATTTACTTTGCCATGCACTTATCTTCTCAACTGTGGGGATATATATATATGCATATTTTCGTGAGCTACTTAAACAGATACATGTATCTCTAAATAACTGATGGATGCGTTCTTCTTTGTATGTTCATAAGCCTGTTTTATTTTTCTCTGTCCTCTTTGTTCTCTATATTCTATTCTTTTAATTCAAAACATTTCCCTTGCTGTACATATTAGAGTGAGTGCTTATCAAAGCATAACTTTAGCTAATGACACTGCAGGTCTCATAAGAAATAATTCAATTGCTGCTTTAATAAGCAGCATATTTATTAAATCCATATAGACTCAATAGAAATTGCTCATGATTTTGCTCTGGTTAAATATCAGTGTGTATATAAACCCAAAGCTTTATGAGGCTTTGCTGTAACTCTGCCAATAACAGTGATGGGGCAAATTAATTTTTATTCCCAACAGAAGATTTTTCTGCTGGGATCATACTACATTAACTGTGATCACATCTATATTTTGTGGCTATAAATACATTGTATTTGTGAAAATAAGTATATGTGAATGGAGTATAAGATCTGACAAAAATAAAGTCTATGCACTGACCCATCTGAATTGATTTCATGTGTCTCAGAAAACTTTGAGATACAAAATCATACTCACAATACATTACATCCTAAATGAAGCCAGTTACTTCTGATTTGAGTTTATGTTCACTGCCTCTTAAAAGAACTGCTTCATTTGCTTATTCCTTTTGTAAAGTTTTAAGTTCTGTGAGGGGGAGTGAACATTTATATATCTACTGGTTACCTCAGCTTGTGGAGTTTGAGTTGTTGAGCTTTTGGTAGGATTTTTTACTGTTTGGATATGGTTGATCTCTCTCCAAGAATGGGATGAGAGGGGAAAAAAAAAAAAAAAAAGGGGGGTCTATTTAAAGAAATGTGTTCATCTGTTTTCACTGAAAAACTGTAATACTTCTGTGATTAAGGACAAAGAGCAAAATAAGGACAGAAAAAGTATTTTTCTGACAGAGCAGTACCCATTTGTGCCTAAGAAAAATATCCAAACTTAACCATATTACAAGTCTTCACATATTTTAGAAGGAACACTGTTTTGCAAGTAGAAATAATTGAGACTAGTATCTGTAGAAGATTTTTGAATTTAACAGCTAAATTTTCAGCATCATGACAGATTAAGGATTAGCAGACAGGGAGGAGAAAAGGTGTAGAGTGAAACATGGATGCAGTTATGGACATGATAGAAAGTTTTGGCAGAAAGATGTTGGAGAGTTAGCAGCAAATATTCTCTCCTGGTTCTTGAGATGTGACTGATCAAGGCTCACATGGGCTCACAGGCTTAAGATAAGCCAGTCTCAACCTTTTTTTGTGAGTGTACTGGTAGAGTGTATGTCTCCGTTAGTGCTGGCCTGTTAAGGTATCTCTGTAACAGCTAGTAAGTGCTCTGTTGGCTCAAGTGACAGAAGTTTGTACAAGAATCTAAATTTTCCAACCCGTTTGTGACTTGAATGACTAGTTTCATAATAAGAAATTTTTGCAAGATTGTTTGGTTTTTTTTTCCCTATCTGTTTTATTCCATTTTAAAACCTGTGAAATTGCATTTTAAAACTGCATTAGGTAAAAGTTTTGGTTGCAAGTGCAACAATTAAGCCCAATACACTGACAAAGAAATACCAAGTGTGAAGGTTAGCTGTGCAACTTTAATTCATCCCATTTACCTGTGTGCATAACTAGATGTTATTTACACCACCACATTTCATTTGTTTGCAATACTACTGAAGTGTGCTATGGAGATGAACCTACTTTCCGTGGTGATGACTTCCATTTTCTGTAGTTCTCCTTTCCTTTTTGTTGCAAAGCTTGAAACTGTGAATGAAGGAAAAGGAAGGATATTTGGGTAAATGCTTTCCTTGAGATTTAATTTCTGTTTCAGCCTCTGCCACAGAATATCTGGGTGAGAGTGAGCTAATAATTTAAATGAAACCTTTTACAGATGACTTTTGATTAAGTATTTATTATTTTGAGAACCAGAGGCTGGGCATTTGGAAATGCTGAGCAACTTACAGCAAAAGTCCTTAGAAGGTGCGTATGGAGCTATGCAATGCTAAATACTTAGAAAAAATGGCCTTTAGGCATCCCAAATTAATAGCTACTATATCTCATAGTGACTTAATCTCTCATCTGTAAAATGGGATAATACTATATCTTCATTCTTCTTGTAATATAAATTATGTATTTGTGAATCTTCTGCATGCGATAGTGATGAACACTGCAGAAAAACACATAAGAAAAATATGATGCTGATTTTAAAGAAAGTAGTTTACGGCTATTAAATTAAGAACTGCATCATAACCTCTACATGATGGGGGCTGCATTATGGCTGCATGACCAACCTTTTAATTCTTAACTCATGAGCACTCTATTTGCAGCATTCATATTCTTTTCATAGGGCCTTGTGGGCATGTGTAATCACACAGAACAATGTGCTCATGATAAAGCTTTCAGGTATATTTTTTTGTCACACTAATTTATTACTAATGTATGTTAATAAATAACATCTTGAATAAGAGATCTGCTGAGACACATTTTCCCTCCTAACAATAACATAAAAGATTTTTGACCTTCAAATTTTAGTAATGTGTGTTTGTTCAGAATTGTGCTATATTTATTTTCGTAAATATATACTTCCCCCAAAATCAATTTTTTCTAAATCCACAAGCGTTTAAATTGCTGGAAGTCTTTATTTACTGTAAATTTCATACGTATGCCTTTACTACATTTTGACTTACAAAGGCTCAGCTTTAATTAAAGACAAAGGAGAGAGAACTTTTGACAAGCTTTATTAAGTTTTAGCAAGTCAAAAGCTTAGTCATATTACATATATTTAATAATATATTTACATCTATATCTGTGTATTCATATTTAGCATGGTACTAAATTGCCTTACCCAAAATCTAGTGTTAAATTATTATGAAAATAAAAAAGATATTTTGTAGAGAGACATGGATTACCTCACTTCTTGATAGTAGTTTATAATTTCCTTCATCAAATTTAGCTCAGGCTATTCTGTCAGTGTGGTTGGGTTATTTTTGTTCTTCCATGGCTGCATAGCAGTGTTTTAAAAATCTTCTATTCATTTTATGTTTTTTTCAGCTATCGTGACTGGTTGTCTTGTACCATTCCCCTTGAGTGTATGTGTGTATTTATTATTTTAAACAATAATATTGTATGTCCAGATAGGGGTCCCATTAACATTCTTTTTCACTAGAAATTGGCAAAAATTTGCATCAAAGGGTTTAGCTTCATAAATGGTATTTTGTATTGTTATTGAGTGGTGGTTGCTGGTTCTTCCTTTTTCACCATATTGTGAATTTTTCACCACTTTGCATGACAGACCAAGAAAGCTGAACTGCTCAGCTTCACACATCACGTTTCCAGAGGCTTTGTTATTTTGTGTAGTCTATATTTAATGCAAAACCAAGAAAACAGATGTAAACAAATAATGTGATTGTAGGCCGAGGCATGTGACTGTCTCAAACTTCATTTTTTGTAAAAAGCATGTAAAACTGTTATTTGATTGGAAATTTCAAGGAAGAATGGCTTAAAATTTCCTTGCAGCCTTTCCTAACTAGTGGGTCCCCTATAACAGAACCAAATAAAACTGTTTTGGAACATTCAGTTGAAAGTAATTTAAACTTATGATTTTGTTGTTTTTGTTCTTGTTTCACTGAGCAGTATATTAATCAATCCTGGAAACCATGTCAAGATTCAAGAAGGTACTCTAGGATTCTTCATTGCAAGTGATGCCAAAGAAGTAAAAAGGTAATTAATATATTTTTATCTTTAAATTTAAACATATAGTATTTAATTTCTGGTGTTTTCTTTACAATGTAAATGCCTCACCTAATTTTCATTATTATCTGTTTAAAGTTTCTCAGTGGGAATTGAGTTGGTACTCTAGTGAACCAACCATGTGAACATGCCATTTTCTTAACTACAGTCCTAAATATCAAGAGAAATGAAATAATTTTACAGCAGATGTGAAAACAAATGAAGAGGTGGTGGTTTTTTTGCTGAGTCCTACTAGAAAATGTAAAATATTTTGATCTGATTTCTCTATAATTAATTTGTCTCAGTGGAATTACTTTGAGAGAGGACAGAGATTACATTTTAAACTTTCAGGTTTAGAGTAGTTCTTGCTTACATAGGCTCTAGCAAGTATTTGATATGAGCAAGCTACTGCATTCATTCAGTAATTGCATTAGCAGAAAAGTATTTATGTTCTTGTCATTTTTCTTTACTGGAACTACATACTCTATGGGCTCATAATAATAAATCAAACTACAACAGGGCAGTATATCCCAACCATTGTAGACAACTTCACTGGGTTGTTGTACTTGGCTGTATTAGATTTGGGTTGAATGAAAAGGGGGTTTATGGTATTGTGTTTAGGACCAAAGATGTGTACTCTTGTTTGTTAGGATTATAATGTGCTCGGAAGGAATAAAAGAGCAATGTGAAAATTTATTTTTTTAAATAATTATTCAATGTCTGTAAGATTAAGAAAAAATAAGAAAGAAAAGGAATATTTGCAGCTGAGTGTTTCCCCATAATTTGTAGTTCTGTTGAAAGTCATGCTATCAAGATTCTGATTTTTACTTGATGTTCTCCTTGAGGTAGATATTTTAACTAACTCCTATACTTAGAATAGCGAAAATTCAAGTTATAACCTTTACTAAGTCCTAAACATTTTATGTTTAAACTACAGTGAAAATAATATTTAAGCAATGCCTGTTTGCCATGAATATTTAAAGAAAATCAAAACAGTGAAATCACTGAGAACTTGAATTCTCTTTTGGTTGAAATAGCTAAGATAGTTTTTGGCTAGGTGAAGCATACAGAACAGCAGTTCTGACCTCTCATATTTCTAGTACCAGCTTTGGAGTATTTGCATCCAGCATTGCCTTAGGTACGCTGTCTTTCAGCATCTAGTTCTTTTCCTCTCTGGTGCTTTTCTCCCTTTGAATATTCAGAACTGTCTTCACCTTTCTTTACTGAGATGCTAGGCTTTGGGTTTGTTTTCCATTTATAAGGCGTTTTACACTCTCCTATGAAAATATTTCAGACTGTAAGTAAAAATTACCTTGCATAGCATTTTTAACAGGGAGAAGTTGACCGTTATTAATGTGTTTAGAGAAAATTTACACATCATTCATCTAGCACATTTTATCTAATAGCAAACTGAAATAAAATTCCCAATTCTACCTTCCTTTTTACAGAAGGCTTTGTTTAGAAATGTGCTGCCTCCCTTACCACAGTTTTTAGCTGTTCTGTGCAAAGCAGATGATTATCAGATGTGTTTCAACCAACAAAACCAAATATGCAAAGTGTTGATTTCACCCTTTGGAGCTGTGGATCAGAGTCAGAAAAATGTTCTCAAATTCAAGTCTTTTAGAGGGGGAAAAAAGGATTTTTTAATAAAGCAAAATTAATTGTATGTTATATTTTATTGTGAATTACATATTTGATAAATATAAATAGCTTTAGTCTAATGAGCTGAAATTTCTCCATTAACCTGTAACACAAAACCAGAATAATTTAATTTGAATTTTGGGTATATAACATGTTTAATGTTCAATTACTCTTCTTGCTAGAAGTACTTTTGCATTTTTAGAACAATAGTTTCACATTAGAAACAACTATATCTAGGTAAATAGTTTCATGTAAAATGTTAAGTGTTTAAATATCATACAAACTATATCAATTGCATCTTTATTATTCTTTATCCATTTACATGTTAGTACTAACATCAGAAATCCACATACTTCAAATCCACTTAATTCAATCCAGTTATATAGAAGGATAATTTTATTACAGCAATCAGTTTAGGTGTTTGCTCTTGACATTGTGCATGGGATTGAAGGTACTTTTTAGGATGTTTGTCCTGCAGTGGACTTCAGAAATGTGATCTGCAGAAATGAACTATGTCCAATACGTGTCGTGAAGTTTCATAAGGGAATATTTGTGATAGTGGATTCTTGTTGAATAGAGGGTCTTACAGCTGGATTGGGGAGAAATTTTCAAAATTGGAGGCAGTTTTCTCCTCCTTGCTTATGTCTTGACATTGACTCATGGTTTGAAAATTATTTTACTCTCATTTCCTTGGAGGCAGTTTGTTTTCTTTTTGTTGGAAGGTGAATATTTTGAAGACCAGACTCTGCAGCGAAGAATACAAACGCTCAGAGAAGGCGCTTTCATTTTACATTTGGCTTTTTGGAAATAGTAAGACAATTTCACAGTCTGAAAGAGCATTCTTCCTGGAAGTTTCTTAGAGAAATTAAGTCTGCTACATTTAGGACTTATATCTTCCATCGGTAGCTTGCATGCTATCTTGATTTTAGAAATGTTAATAACATTCAGTGAGGTCTTACTGCAAATTTAAATTTGTATTCTCTGGTCTATATCTCATATGCTAGACATGCTACCTTTCTCCTGATGGGCCTCTTTACCTGGGCCATTATTCAGAGGTATAAAATAACAGATAAATTTGTAACTATATGAATTAGGTATCTAGTTCATATTTCTGAACATTTCCTTTAATATAGTTCTACCTGTGGTGGACACTAATTAATCTAAAGAGAACTAGTAGCGATCATCCTAGCTGAACTGTCAGAGGCTGTGTACTAATGTTGTTTATTTTTCTTTTTATATTTTGAACTGTAGATTGTTCTGTTCCAGTGACCTCCATATTGTTGTGGCAATCCAACCATCCTAAATCTATGACAAGTACAGTTGGCAAAATCCATGGGTGGTTGTAAAATGGCACCTTTGGTTCTTACTGCCAATTTCTGTTGAGCAATATGCAAGGAGAGGGGGTTTGGAAGATAGGCATGGAGCTGACATATCCTGAATATGGATAAGTACAGAGAAATTTCAGCAGATTAAAAAGTATTTTTAATTTCTTATGCCAAGAAGAATCCTAGGAAAATGTAACTGTCCAGCTAGAGACCAACTGCATGATCCTCATGAAATGTGTCACAACAGCCTTATATGACATGTTGAATTGACAGGCATGATTAAACTCTCCTGTGGGCAGTCTGATGCATATTTATTAAACTGGAATTTTGTTTTAATCTCATCTACAGTCAAATGTTGACCCTTTCTCACTTCCTTAGTTCTCCTTGTGCTTCACCTAGTGGTGAGCCGTTTGATACAAGAGGTAGTTCATAACCAAAAGCATCAAATGGAAACCTAGATGGTTCACCTTGTTAATTGCGTATTTTCGTTTCAAATTTTGGCTTTTCTCTGTTCAAAACTGAAATGGTTCTGCTCTATTCTGATGTAAAAGACAAATAATCTGAATCAAGATTATTTCAGTTCTTTAATTTATATGTTCCTTTGGGAACTTATTTTGATAGCATTTTCTCTTTCTGCTTTTGGTTGGTTTGGTTTTGGTTTTTTTTTTTTTTTTTTTTTTTAAATAGCACATCTGATGTTGTTGTCACATTGATCTCATTGCAATATCTCATTGTATCCAAAATTAAGTCCTACTTGTGACCAGGCTGAAAAATTGGCCCAGGGTGCTAGACAGTCTTTAAAAAACGATAAAAAAAAAGCAGCTAGTATATCCGATAAGAACAGAGAATTCATTATTTATATATATATTATCCTTCTCCCAATTATTTTTGAAATAAAAGTATAGTAAATGAAACACTGATTTGGAGTCTTATGTTTGAAATGAATGGTCTTGCAGCAAATATTTCCTACTTTAAATGTCTAAACCTTTTCAAAGAATAAAGAAAATTCATGCTGGCATGTTTCATTAATTTGGCACTGCAACAAGAGGAAATGTGGGCCTAATTTCATTTGTATGGATTAAGAAATGTGTCAGTTTTTCCATTCTTTCTCTCTAGGGCATTTTTTTACTGCAAGGCCTGTCATGATGACATCACGGATCCCAAAAGGATAAAAAAATGTGGCTGCAAACGGCGTAAGTAATATTTCTATCGCTCCCTTCTTCTCATTTTCATTAACTGTTCAGCCTTGAAGAATATCTGTACATGCGTTTACATGTTTTACACAGTGGTGCAGAAAAGCTAAGAACTAAATGCACAGTAACTTAGTAAGTGCCATTTGCATTTCTGAAGTCCATATGTTTTTATTACATTTCACACCACTTGCACCTGTTTCTTCATTAAAAACTCCATTAGGGTCCAAAGCTAACAATATGTGAAGAATTAAACCAAGCTAGATCTAATTGTGGAGGTTTCTGAGTTAAGAATGAGATAACAGGGAGTTCTGTTCTCATTCCTACCATGCAGAAATCCAGTAATTTCAATAGTTTTCTGTAAAGAACTTTTGTCTATCTTGCTGAACATAATTCTGTAAAAGAAGAAACTAGGGAATAATATTCCATCATATAACTATTGAAATAAATTATTATTGAAATAAACGATCAGTTTTACTGGAGAAACAGATTTTCTCGAAGAAATTAAATATTAGTGCCTCTTACATATAACTGTTTAGAAGATTCCATAACTGTAATGCTAATATTTGGTTTAGTTTGGCTCTTAGGTCTGCTCTTTAAATGGTTTGGAAAATTTTGCATGAAGAAATAATTGAGTTTTGGAATTGAGATCAGACTTTGCATCTGTTTTTTTATAAATATATAGAAATTAGCATTTTATCCATATATACTTTGAAAGGACTTTTTGCAGGAACTATCACAACCACATTTTGGCCCAAGATGTGTGTGATCTATGCGTATTTCTAATACTGATATCAAAAGGATTCAGGGATCCATTTCTCAATGGATGTGTGAATATTTATGTGCATTCCATGGTATTCTGCCATGAAAAAGATCATTCTGTTCAAAAATACTGATTAGGTAAATTGAAAGACCTCAGAAGAGTTTGATCATGTCTATTTTACCGTTACTTTTGAAAGGGAAAAAACTCTTATTTATAGATCCAGTCATAGTGTTATCACTGCACTGTCTTAGAGGATGGAAGAAAGTCTAAACTGGACCTTCTCTGCCTTTAAGAGGTGCCTGAAATTGATGAATTCTTGAAGATTATTTTAAAAAGAAAAAATATGTCAAGTTTTTAAAGAAACTCATCTCCCCTCAAAATCAGCAGTGTGGAACATAGTCTAATTGAGAGAAAGCAGCTGAAACACTGACAGAAAATGATATTTATCCTCCCAGTAGCCACAAGGAGAGCAAAGCACACGGAAAGCATGCTTGATGTGGAAGGAATGTATGCATTGCCTAACATATTGGAAAAAAATTGTTCAAGAACAGTTTATCCATGTGAGAATGTGACCTTTGAACTGCTGCCAAAGCCAATGAGGCTGCCGAATAAGTTCTGGTGAAGCCAGTTACAGATGCCTCAGGGTGCCTGTAACTTGCAAACCCAATCTTTTTTCTGAATTACCCAACAGTTAAAGAGAAATATGTTACCTGCTTAATTTTATCTGATTCTGTCAAAAAAAGACCTTTTTTTATTTGTCTTTTCTTCTCTACCCCTCCTTCACATAGTATATGCTTTCGCACATGTGCTGATTTAAAAAAAAAAAATATTCCCAAAGATCTGTCATTTTAACGTGAGATCTACACTTTTCATTGAAATCTGTTAGAAGATAGGAATTGGGAATTCATAGTATCAAGGGCAAGAGCCCTTTATTATACATTAATGAAAATCAATGTAACCTCCTCAGTACTAGGAAACCAGGGAGAAAATAGAGTATCCCGTAACCCAGCCAGCACAATGGATGTGTTACCAGCAGTAGGGCCATGGAGAGGTGAGAGTGACAACTTCTGTGTGTAGCACTAGGAAATGTTCCAAATGGCATGGTCACACGTATCCATCCAATAAATGAAAAGGTGTTGGACAGATGAAGAAACAAAATGATGGGGTTAGTGAGGCTGAAGGAGGCGGCTGTCAGAGCTGCTGCAGTGAGCACTGAATGCTAAGGAGGGAATCCTCTGAGTCAGGGGAAAAAGAAAAAAAAAAAAAAAGGTCAGTGAGAGTAAAATCTTAAATTTCCTTTTCATTGTCTCCCGTCTGCCTCTCCCCTCTCCTTTCCTACATACACACACATAAGGTCACAGATACCATGATAGCTGGCAGCTCGCAGTACGGCTGACAAAGCTTCCACTTAGCAGCATGCTCACAACTATTAGGAATAATGCAATTGCATTGCTTTTAAAGTTCTGTCAATCAGCAAAAAAATTAAATGAAAAATTTCAACAGTAATTAGTGATTTTTGGTGTCTCAAATTTGGATTACAATCTTGAGATCCCTTTTATGGGACCTGATTTTTTTAAAAAGTAAGTCTTTAGTGCAGTCTATTATTCACAGAACATGTCTCAGCTTTAGCATTCAAATCACTAATCACTTTTGAAAAATCTTAACTATATTTCTTAACTATATTATCCATCTGTAAGCTACACAAATCACTGGTCTTAAAAATACAGTCTAACCAAAACAAAGCATAAA